TTGTTGTTGTTGTTGTTGTTGTTGTTGTTGTTGTTGTTGTTGTTGTTTGTGTTGTTGTTCGTGTTGTTGTTTGTGTTGTTGTTGTTTGTGTTGTTGTTGTTTGTGTTGTTGTTGTTTGTGTTGGTGTTGTTTGTGTTGGTGTTGTTTGTGTTTTTTTGTTTGTGTTGGTGTTGTTTGTGTTGGTGTTGTTTGTGTTGGTGTTGTTGGTGTTGGTGTTGTTGGTTTTGGTGTTGTTGGTGTTGGTGTTGTTGTTGTTGTCAATGGCTGTTTGTATAGCAAACGCAAGAAGCCAAAGAGACCGCAAACGCAAGAAGCCAAAGAGACCGTCTCTTTGAGTGTTTTTGGTGTGTGCATCGTTCTGACACGGAATTCTTTGGGTTCAGCGCAGACGCTTCACGAGGTTTACGAGCCAATAGCTACCAAACGGCCAGAGGTGCGCGAAATAGGCCCGGCCAGCGGAGGGCACGGGTACTGTGGACACTTGACCGGAGAGAATCGAGCCCCTAGTAGCATCCTTGCTCCCAGTAGCGATGCCCTTTGCTCCTAGTAGCGTTTTTGGATGTGTGCGCATGTGTTCATACTAGAAGTTTAGAGAGATGGTGTGCCATAGATCGTCAAGTGGCACTTGTCGCGCGTGTAGCGCGCGGCGCACCGTATGGCTGTTGCTTCCACTTTTGTACATACCGCCTACAATGGACCTACATTAAAGATACAATGTTGCTAGAACCTGCAGACGCGCAGGAGCCATATTTGCATGAATGCTAGCCACACATATCCTCCAGCATCAGCAAGAGGTGCCCCGCAGCTCTCCTGCCAACAGCCAGGAAGATTTGAGGCTGAGACCAATGATGTTCAGTCCTGCACTTGGCTTGCCTTCCGCTAACAGCTCATGCGCGGTTAGCTGCCAGCCGCAGTTGCTGACAACAATGACTGCAAAATAGTGTGAACAAGCGTGAACGGATGACACAGATGTATAGTTGCGTGCCGTAGTGCCTTCCAACGAAGTCCAGCATGGTGTCGGTTGTTTGTTTACAAGTAGCATTGGCCCCCGCAGAGCTCTCAAGTTCCTTGATAATCATTGATAATTGATTGATGTGGCTAAGAAGCCAAGAACCAGCAACTGGCAGCCCAGTCCGCTTTCATAAGTACTTTCATATATAAATCCATTATATACAAATATGTACATATAAAATGTTTGCTCCTGTTCAGCAATGGGTTTGGATGTCACTCTATTCTGAAGCCACAGCTAGTACCGTAGTCTTTCAATTGTTTCGATGAGACCTGTGGCCAAGGCCAGTGTCGCAGTTGGATGCAAAGAACTGCAGGCGGTCGGTGTATGACGTTCTTTTTTGGACCCGAGAGCGTCACAGCCGAGGGATGAATAAGTTTACTCCGGTCAACTTTCATGAACATATTAACTGGGATCATAGACACGGGACTTCTAGAGGTTTGCAAGTTACTTGACCACTCACTACCTTTTCAGACAAGCCCGGCATTTGATGCTATCAGTTGTGAAGCTTCGATTTCCGCATGCGACCAATAAGTCCATTGGCCGCACTTGGGGCATCAGTCGAGAAGAGATGTAAGGTAGACTTGATGTGTGATCGCAGCCTTCTCCTACCTTTTGCGAGACCTGCCATGGAGCTGGACAATGTCAAGGGCAAAGATGCTCCGGAAGCACCTGCAGGTGGTGTGGGGTCAGAGATGGTCCCCCTTCCCCCTTAAGTCAATCAAGCCACGTTTTCCCAAGCTTTGTTGCCGAACAATGCCCAGTCACACTAGCCTAGCGATTCTCGCAGCCACACATGCCGTATGGAATTTTTGTTTGGTTGCTGCTTGTTGTTGCCTGGCCGACTGACAGGCAAGAATCCTTTTGCCAGGCTTGATGCGTTGTGAAGGGACCACTGCATGCAGGCATGAATAAAACAAATTGACACCAGTTAACGCCCATTTGGGGGTTGTCATTTCTGGGTTTGGACGGATGAGCCTACGCAAACGCCCATTTGGGGGTTGTCATTTCTGGGTTTGGACGGATGAGCCTACGCAGACTTGGGGGAGCTTGGAACCTTTGCCATAGGGCTTAATATTATACTATAGGAATTCAGAAGCACAAAATAGAGAAAATTAAACGTGTTCCGTTTTTGGTAAACAATATGACTGCTCAGTGGTTACCCCTTCCCAGGACTGGCTGCAGAAGATACAGTCGTTTCTTTCCGCAGCGCTCGAAGCTATGATGTGATGTTTCTTTGCTGCGCAGTACTTCATCCGGCAAGTTTCGGACGCCACTTCTGGCCCGGACGGTCTATGCCTTGGACACTGGACACGAGTCCTGGCGTTTTTTTCGCTTTGTGTCCGAAGGCGTCCTTTCTCGCTTTGCTCACTTTGTATCTTGGTGTTTTGTGCATCACCACCACCAGAACTTGACAGAGCCAAACGCATCACGTCTTGGTGAAAACACATCCTTCACCCGGCTCGAGCAATAGGTGGTGAATGCTCCAGAGCGCTTGGACCTCTCCCGCCAGCTCCTTTGAGACCGGAGGAAATATGAAATGGTTGCTAAATATATCTATGCAGTATATAGATATGTATATATTGTGTTTGTTCTCCTCCAATTATGGCCTTCCTCATGTGAGAACGATTCTTCAGATGTATATATATATATAGATGTCGACGCCACATGGTGGTCTTTGATGGTTTGTGGAAGGCGATGCTGAGACAGACCGACCAAGAAAAGGATACGTTGTTGTTTCGGAGCGAAAAAAGCAATCCTGAGGCATTCGCGAAGTGAACCGGTTTCCCAAGTCGAGCTCTACAGCCTCGCTCTCTGCTCTTCCCAGGACATTCTGTAAGCCATGGCGCATACCATGTCCCTTAGTTGCTGTATGTACATACTTAAATTATGTTCAGTGCAAGCATAGCTAATGCCCTTTCTCCTAGCCGGCTAGGACCTTTTGGGAGGGGGCTTCCTTTTGGCCAACCTTTAGTCCCGTCGTGCTTTGGCTTTGGTATCATTGTAAAGTATCAGTATATATTTTTGGATGTTCTCCAGCGGAGTTGTCAGTTTTCAGGTGTTGTTTTCCACGCCACATTTGGTTGTTTGGTTTCCTTTGTGAGAGGTCTGACCTATGAGGGAGGAGCCTTTGCCAGGGGAGGTATTATGTTTATTTTTGACAGTTTGGCGTATTCTGTATATAGTTGTTTCTTGAAGCTAAGGCAGATCGCTTCTTTCATGTCATGTCTTTGCGAAGAATGCAGTCCAACTTGTGCGTCAGTAGGAGGTTTGACCGGGGAGCATCTAGTTTAGGTTCATGTGAAGACCTGCCCGTTCCTCCTCCCTTCTAACTTTAGTGCCATAGACATCCCGCCATAACATGACATCATTTTGGAAAGGAGTACTTGTCCTTCCTGGACGACAATCATCCCTAGAGTCGTTGGGAGGTGTTGACCTCCCATCGGTTACGCATTGCACCTCCAAACAGCTACAGAGCTCAGCTCAAGAATTGTAAAAGGTCCTGCCATTGCTAGCTGCAGCTATTGCCTTCATCTCTTTTTGGCTTTAAGGTTATAAGGCTGCAACACCTTGCGTAGCACTTCTGCGCACAATAAAAGTTTTTAGCAATAGACCACCTGCAATATAGCTGTACAGTGTACGCACCAATGCTACATACTGCCAGACTGCCCCAGAAACGCAGCAACTTCACCTGAGAATCACCACCGCTCTGGTGTGGGGCAATGATGTCATTCTTTCCACCTGTGAAAGTCCCAAGAGGTCTCCAAGCATCTCCGAGAGGGGTCAAGTTTTTAGAATGACTCTCCTGAGAGGTTAAGGCTTGTTAAGGCGTCTCTTTCACAACGCCCGGCGTTGGGTTCCTCTTGAGCTCACAGACAGACCCTGGAGGACCGACAGATCCTTTAACGGCTGCCGGCGAACTTGCAGTTCCAGTGTGATCTTCGGTCCGTGAGCGCATCCGGACAAACTCCCACAAGCCTTAGGTCACTGACCAAAGAGTTCCAAGAGATGTTGAGAGCATGACTGTAAGAGCTTGGAACCTTATGACCAAGCAAGCTTTTCAGACTTTGTTTCCCTGGAAGTGTTGACATGTTGATTATGATGATTTCCATGTAGCTATAACTATATACGCTAGAGGATGGAGACTTTCCCTACTTTTCGCCGGCCCCGAGGTGAATGGTTAAGCCATCCACTCGGAACACATTACCTGACAGAGTCAGGGACAACCGGTAGTCGAAGAATCTGAACAAGGATGCAAAAAGGTCCTATTCAACGGCACGGCATGTGTCTTGTTTCAGTTGTTATGTTTGAGCTTGCTCTTTGGTCCCAAAAATTTCTGGCCACAGTTGGCTGAGGACAACACAATAAAATAGAGCGGCGTGTTTCCTCACGTGCGTGTAGTTCCTTTCTTGGCGTTGTGGGCTGCAATGCGGTTGGTTCAAAAAGTCTCCAATCTTGTGGCGCCTTTTTAAAAGTCTCCAGTCAGTAGGCACCTTTCTCAGCCCTGCAGTCTTTACAGCTTCAAGGACCTAGGTGAAGCTGTGAGCCTCGGGGAAGCTGTGAGCCTCAGAAACTCTCCTCCGATACGACCAGACTACTGCTTTAACTTGGGTACATACGACGAAACGATACTGGTTGTTGATGCGTTTGACGATGCGCGTTTTTCCAGACGATGCACCTTACAAATCAGACCATGCACTTTCCCTGATGAAACTAGCACCAGCTCCAGGAGGATTTGACGAGGATTTTGGTTGCGGTCTAACCGTTAGTTGGATGAAAAGGATTCCCATCAAGAGTGGCTTTGATTGAGTGGAAGAGAAGGAGCTAGAGCCTTATATAGATTGATTGAGATTGGGGTTGAGAAATTGGAGCAGCAGCACAAAGCAGTTGACAGGTCCTTTCGGCACAGAGTGCAAGATGCGCAGATCCCAAGGACCTTGATTTATCGAGATTGGACCCCGAATCTGGGCCCTTGTCCTTTACTCAACTCGGACACATGCCCACTTGCAATGTGGCTTGGGAATAGGATGTCGGCTATAAGCGGCACAGGCTGTTAATGCATAAGCAAAGCAAGACACAAACATCTCCCTGACTAAATATGTCTTACAGTAAGTACTTTTCTTGGGGGGGTTTGGTCAAAGGCTGATGATCAAGATGCACACGTTGCAGGGTCACTGCTCAAACTGTACTCAAAGGTATATATATATATATGTATATAATATATGTATCAAGGCATGACTTGTTGGTTCCTGTAGTGCAGTCAGAAGTTCACAGTTTTCTGTGCATTTCGCCCTGGACTCAGGAGCTCCACGGCCAGGTCTTCAGAGTTTGTGCGTTGAACATGGCGAGCTCTATGATGGGCCATAGGAAAAAGCCATAGAAGGCCATGGTGGTCCCAGGGCAATCAGTGGCAATTAGAGAACATCTAATATCATCTAATGAATCCATCATTCCTATTCGTTGATGTTCCGGCGGGTAGTGATGAGCAAATATGGGAGATTTCATGGAGTACCTAGTTAGTTCCTTGATTCCAACGCTGAGCCGGAGCTTTGGGAGCAAAGAATTCTTACCGAATTCGCGTGCTCAGGATTGGAGTGCTCCTTCTTCTAGCCCTATGCATCGCAGCCTGCTTAGAATGCCAAGAGATGCAAAGTGCATGGAAGCAACAGTACAGTAATTACTGGTAAGGTGAGTGCCGTAATTTCAAGTAATCTATGCTTGCACATCTTTAGCCAGCGATCTTCCGAGGAATAGGCTGGCCAGGGTGAATGTTGCATACCGCACGCCCAAGGGTTTTGCTTGCCCAGGCCTTTCTGGCTTGCCGCAGCTGCTTCGTTCCAGTGAGGGCACTCAATGGGGACTAGTTGCAACATAACCGACAGATTCGACAGGGAAGCGGGCGCTGTTAATCCATTTGGGTACAGTGTTGCTCAAAAATGCAGACCCACATGACACAGACCATTTGGATTCCTTCGGCCGGATTGGGGTAGAGTAGAATCCATCTCGCTGCCAAGGCTCCTGGCCGTTGGGGTCGGGCGCTTTGAGAATCGGTATGAGTTGTTTTTTTAAATGAGAAAGAACTTGGAATCACATGCCCTCCAAACATTTGTGTTCGCCCGACAAACGATAGAAAGATGTTCCATTGAAAAGGACTGACAATATATATTGGGATTACTACATCATGCATATTTTTTGGTTGCTGAGCCTTTGACCACTTGCACGTTGGGGGGAATGGTAGCTGTGTTGCGTTGCCGCTATCGCTCAGGCAGCTCAGGTTTAGTACAGCGCTTAGAGACGTGCAATAATTTTTAATGTTCGAATGACAGCAAGTTCTATTATGAGGGGACGCTTCAATTGAATTCACCTGAATGCATTTGAAAGAGGTCTCTTCAATCTTGGCAACTCTTTCCTAGTTGTTGGTCAGAGCTTTCAGTGAAGCAAAGCGCTGGTGTTTGATGAGCTTTCGTGCGTGGCACGCACTCGCAGACTGCTTCTTCTAGGCTGCTGGTATTCTTTTGCCTAGCCTGGCCCACGCCCAAGAGGCCCCAAAACAGTTGGCGGCCCGTTTTAGCAACTCAGCTGTGTACCGTTGACAGCTCACAAGCTATCTCCTGACCTGCAGGCTGAGATGCAGTTGTAAATGGCACTTGCTGATAATGATGTTGTTTAAATGTGTTATGATGTGTATATGATTATGTATATATATAGCCATTTGGTACAGCATACAACATACATGTATACAAAGCATACACAGCATACAAACATACATACATACATACGTACATACGTACATCCGTACATCCGTACATACGTACATACGTACATACGTACATACATACATACATACATACAGTGTATATATATGTGTGTGTTGCACCATTTTGCAGATGACAGATGCAACTCCAAACGCTTGGCCAGGCTACGTCGGCTGGAGGTGCGAGTACGAGTGCGTAAGCATGCCACGTGATGAGAAACTTCCATACAGTTGGATTTTAGCATTTGAGTTAGACAAAAATATTGACATGCATGTTTTACATGTGTTTTTTCTCCGGTTAAAGAATAACTTTCACCATCAGATGTGTGTGTGTGTTTTTGTCGTTCTTTCATCAGCCATCCTAGCAGTCAAAACCGCCTCATGCTGAGACTCCATTGATACCTCCCAGCTGGTCGACTCCTGGAGGCTTCCAACGGGTGAATGGGCGAAGGAACTTGGGGACTCGGCGCCAAGAAAGGATAAGAAAGGTATATAACTATGTCAATCATTATGCAACATATGTTGTACACAAAATCATGGACAACATATAAAGATACAAAAACATAGATAAAACATATACTATATAATGTACATTGTACATATTGTTTTAAAACACTTGGGTTTAGTTTAGATACTGTATTTACTATGGGCCATCCAGAACTTTGACAACATGAATCACAGAATCTGTTGAATGCAGGGCCTTCTCCGCCAATCCGGACCAGTTCCAGCCACAAGCAGTTGAGAATTCGGCATCGTCCGCCAGCACCTGAGCGAGCGTAGCATACTGACATAAACAGTGATGTTTGTTTAGTGCTAGTTGTTTCATGGTGGATTGGAAGAAAGAGCGCAAAAAGGAGGGTCAAATGGCTCAGGCACACTGTTCCAGACAGGTTCCAAGCACTTTGGTAGTTGATAACATTCGAGAAAAAGGAAACTGAAGATTCAGCCAATTTGTCCCTTTTGCTATATTTGTTTACAGTATGTGAAATTCAAGAGCTTTCCTGATACTTTGTGCTTGACGTTGGGCACCTCAGGATTGGCAGTTGGGCACCTTGACTGGCCGTGCCGATCAGCTGTGCCCTCAGGGGAGTGGGAGCACTGGATCAATAGTGCACATGATCACCCATTTTACACAACTCGACAGGCCAAACATGAAGCAGCCAGACAATATCACGATTCACATGTCTAACGGTTCTACCTCTCTCAGAACCACTAATCAGGAGCTCATCCGTTCGGCTAAGGGAGCAAGTCTTTTTGATCGTTGGAGCACTTGGCTTCGCTGAAAGCTTAGAGAGCCAACATGTCTCAGAATCACAGAGTGCAATATGCTCGGGCAACCCTGCCAGACAGGTGACCCCTCAACGCAGAGAAAGCTTTGGGGATTTGATATCTATATGTTATGTAATGTTATATATGTGTATATATATAGTATTTATATAGTTATACATGTTTGTATACATACAAGCCTACCCCCGTTCGGAACCCAGGTGTCAGATGTATGCAGATACATGTAGATGGTTCGGCAGATCACTAGAGATTTGTGCCAGGTTGCTTTACAAATGCCTTCCACATAGTTATATAAGTTGTGTTACAATAATAATGGTGCGCTGGTTTACAGTCAAATAAAGTCAAAAAAGCAAAACCCGTGTGCCATTGCCATATCATATATATATGTATGTATGTATGTATAAGCAGTGAGCAAGTTGAATACCAAAGCTATGGCCTAACTATCAACAGAGGTGACTGGCCAAGAGTGGAAAAGGAACAATCCAAGAAGAAGAGGAATATTGCTAAAATCTATTTTGGTTATGTTGACTAGGCAAGGGTAGAGTCCAAGCAGCAATCAGTGTTTGTTCTGTCTTTCTATGTTTTGTCTAGCTCCTTGTATTGTTGAGCAAGAGGCAGGCTTATTGAGACCAATTATATCAGCAGGGATGGAACTAGACAAGGTAAGAAAAAACTATCTATATAACAATCAGAGTACCAGGTTCAGTAGTCGGGAAATCCAACTAACCAAACATGACTGACAAGGGTGTTGGTTGGAATTACTGCAAACATACAAATGGTGTTTAAGCAACTGTTTATTTGCCCAAAAGTCAATATTTTGGAATCTAGCTTTCCTTTGTCATGGATATTCTTATATCTTCCATTCTTTTGACCTAATAAGATTCAACAATGTTCCACAAAAGGCATTTGGCAATTTTGGAGGTGCCTGATATGCACTTTCAGGAAGAAAGAAGGGGGCTGTTGTCAACATGGTGAAGGCCTCAAAAACGGGAAGAAAGCATAGAGTGGGGATTCTGGCGGAGGGGCTGAGTGGCATGTATAAGCTAATGCTAACCACCCCGCCCTCAGGGAATGTGAGATTAGAACTCTCCTGAGGCGGCAACCGAATGTGCCGATGCGTTAAAATACACTGGGGTGCCGAAAGTTGCGCTTCTTGACTTCTAAAACGGGAGAAGCCCTTTCCCCGTAGAATCCTACGTGCAACATGTCGACACCTAAGTTGCGGTCAGATTTCCACACCTGAAAGCCTTATAAGTATTATAGACTTAAACGGGTGTGGAAATCTGACCGCGCTGTACCTGCCAGGCAAA